CCAGACCCCCGGTCCCAGGCCAGCCCTGGGGGTGCGGCCTGGCCCCGGGGCTCCCGCGACCTCGCTCACCTTGGGCGAGGACACCTTGACGTAGACCACGATGGGGGCCAGCGAGGTCTTGGCCAGCTGGGCTGGGTGGTTGATGGTGTCGGCGTCCAGCACCACCAGCTGCAGAGCCTTGGCCAGCTCGAAGATGCGCTCGATCTCGCTCTGCACCTCGGCTGGGGGGGAGAGCGTGAGCCCCCTGGCACCCCCCCACCCTGGCAGGCGAGGGAGGGAGCTCCCCTCCCCTGCTTGCCTGGGGCCCCAGTGGCTCCCCACCCCCTGCCTGGGGCTGCTCCTGTTCTGCCCCTGCCATCCTGGCAGCCCCGGGTTGCCCCATCTCTCTGGCTACGGGACACTTGGGCCAGGGAGCCGTTCTCTGCCCCGCAGGCGCCAGGACCCCGGGGCGTCCGGCCAAGGTGGGGGGTGGGCTGAGTCCTTCGCTCAGGGGTTCGGGGAGGGGCTGGAAGCCTCCAGTCTCACTCTGCTGCTTTCCCAGGGCAGGCTGCTGCTTTGGCCAGGCCCCCGGGGGGGTGGGCTGGCTGCCCCAGCCCCGCAGGACTCACCGATGCTGGAGCGGGTGGTGGAGCGTTCGATGATGGCGCGCTTGCCCGGGTTGTTGAGGACGGAGCGTTTGGCGAGGGACAGGTCGGCGGTGACGCGGGTGATGGAGATCCTGAGCGGGCGAGAGGGCTGGTGTGTCCCCTGGGGCCAGGCGGCTGAGACACCCTCCCCCCCAGCCAGGCTCAGGGCTGCCTGGGGAGGGGAACGCCAAGCACGTGGGGGCAGGGGGCACAGACACCGTGCCGGGGGGTCTCACCTGCCATCAAACCTGTGCTTGAGGAAGTCGAAGAGTGCCTTCTGCATCATGTCCGTCACCTGGGGGCAGAAGGACCCAGCACGCTCAGCCAGCCCAGGTGCAGGGGGTGCCCCAGGCCCGCCTAGTGCTCCAGAGAGGGGTCAGCGAGGGCCAAGTTCTGCCCCAGCCCTTCCTCCTGTGCAGGCACCGCCAGGCAGCAGATGGCACCAGGGAAGGATGTGCCAGCTGGGAAGGGAGGGAGATGGCAGCTGTGCCAGGACGCTGCTGCCTGGCCATCTGCTCTCCAGTCACGTTGGCCCGTGAGGGCGGGGGGCAGGCAGGCGCAGAGGCGCGAGCCCCCGGGGTCGGGGGGCAGGCACAGACCAGGACGGAGTCACCGGCATGTCTGGGCTCACTGCCTGCACCGCTGACCCCTGCAGGAGAAAATCTGAACTGCTCTGCTGTGTGTCAAAGCCCCTCTCCCGCCCTCCCCAGGCAGGGGCTTTCCCTTAACTGGCTGCCAGGGCCTGGGCTCTGCCCCCTACGGCGGCTGCAAGGGGAGCAGTGCTGACAGGGTGGGGGCGGGGGCAGGGGCCTGGGAGAGCTTTTGCCACATGGGGTCCTGCTGGGAGTCAGAGGGCTCCTCCCACCAGCTGTTCCCTGGGAGCCCCTGTTCAATGTGGAATTGCTAGTGACAAGCCCCCCCAAGAAACGGCTCCCCCCAAGCGATGGGGTTCCTGCTTCCGCTGAGAGCTCAATCCACTTTCCTTTTGCCAGACAACGCCCCCCCCCAGTGCCCGCTGGGAAATCCCCCCCCCCCAACCCCCCTCCCGGCCCCCCCCCCCCCC